CTGTTCTCCCCACCTCACCCCACCCCACCGCCTGCTTCTCTGCCTACTCGTGATCTCTGTCAAATAAGTAAATAAAATCTTAAAAAGTAATTGGTCAGTATGTTCTTATTGCCATTTTGTTACCTTTATAGGTGTTTTTGTAGTTCTTTGTTCCTTCTCTTGCCTCCTCTTTTATGATTTGCTGGTTCTCTCTTTCTTTCTTCATATCATACAATCTTTATCTTTCCATAAGGACATGCATTATGATTTGCAGCACAGGATAGAATCTTAGGAATTAAAATTTGTGCTTCAAATAAATGTTACATTGAGACAGAACATAATCCAAGTGGAAGTTTAGAGTACTTGGTTCTTGTGACATTCCAGAAGTCTTTGCCTATTTATCTTTATACAAATCTTCATGTACACAAATCTATACATTTCTGATAAGAAGTGTTTGCTAAGCCTTTCAAGGTCACTCTCAGAGCCTACCTATTACATATCTTTAAAAATTCTACAAAGGAGCATTTCTTCTCAGATATAGAAAGCCCATGACTCCCCCAAATATTAGCTACTTTTAGTGTTTTTTTAATTGCTACAACAGTGCGTGATGCTTAATTTTATGTGTCAACTTGATTAGAATAAAGGATGCCCAGATAGTGGTCAAACTATATTTATGGGTGTGTCTATGAGGGTGTCTCTGGAAGAGGTTAATATTTGTTTCTGTTTATGTGTTTTATTTGGGGCTTTTTTGTTTTTTTAACCTTTTTTTATTTTTTTACCCCAATTTTTATTTAAATTCTAGTTGGTTAACATATAATATTGGTTTCAGGAGTAGAATTTAGTGATTCCTCACTTACATAAAACATCATGTGCTCAACACAAGAAGTTCTTTTCTTAATACCCATCACCTATTTGCCTACCTCTCTTCCATCAGTCCTTAGTTCTATATATTTAAGTCTGTTATGGTTTGCTTCCTTTTCTTTTTATTCCCCCTTCTTCTATGTTCCTCTGTTTTGTTTCTTAAATTCCACATATGAGTGAAATCATGTTTTGTCTTTCTCTGACTGGCTTATTTCACTTAGCATAATATACTCTAGCTCCATCCACATCATTGCAAATAGCAAGATTTCATTCTTTTTGATGACTAAATAATATTCCATTGTGTATATATACACCATGTCTTTATCCATTCATTAGTTGATGGACATTTGGGCTCCTTCCATACTGGTTTTCTTTGGTTATACGCTTGGATTCCTTTCTTTTTATTTTTTTGCATATCTGTTACAGGTTTTCGACTTGTGATTACCATTAGGTTTATATATAACCTCTTACGCATTTAGCACATTATATTAAATTGATGGCCAGTTAAGTTTGAATCCAGTCTTAAAGCACAAAGTTTTAGTTCTCTGCCACCTGTATTTTTGCTATATAGTTTCATACTTTTATTTTGTGAATTCCTTGACTGATTTTTATAGATATACTTAATCTTAGTGCTTTTGTGCATCCTACTTTTCTTACTCTGCTTATCTTCCCACTCATAGAATCCCCTTTAACATTTGTTATAAAGCTGGTTATCGGTCATGAATTCCTTTACATTTTGTTTGGGAAACTCATTATCTGTTCTTCTTTTCTGAATGATAACCTTGCTGGATAGAGTATTCTTGGTTGCAGGTTTTTTTTTTAATTATTATTATTATTATTATTATTATTATTTATTTTGACACTTTGAATATATATCATGCCACTCTCCTCTGGCCTGCAGAGTTTCTGCTCAGACATCAGCTGAGAGCCTTATGGGGTTTCCTTGTATGTAACTGTTTTCTTCCTCTTGCTGATTTTTTTTTTTTTTAAGATTTATTTATTTATTTGAGAGAAAGAAGGAGAGAAAACATACACAGGAAGAGGAGGGGAAGAGGGAGAGAGAATTCTCAAGCGGAGTCCTTGCTGAGCATGGTGGCCAATAGAGGACTCAGTCTCAGGAACCAACACCCTCACCCCCAGCTCCAGGATCATGATCTGAGCTGAAATCAAGAGTCAGACACTTATCCGACTGAGCCGCTAAGGTGCCCATCTTTTGCTGCTTTTAAAATTCCCTTTATTCACTACTTTTTGCCATTTTGATTATGTGTTTTGGCATAGACCTGCTTGGGGTGATTTTTTGTGTGTGTGCCCTCTATGTGCCTCCTGGGTCTGGATTTGTGTTTCCTTTCCAAAGTTATAAAGTTTTCAGCTACTATTTCTTCAAATAAATTTTCCTCTCCTTTTCGCTCTTCTCCTAGGATCCTTTAATGTCAACATTATTACACTTGATGGTGTCACTGAATTCCCTTAATCTAGACTCATTATTATTATTTTCTCTTTCTCCCGTTCAACTAGATCTCTTTCCACTACTCTGCTTTCCAGGTCACTGATCCATTCTTCTGTTTCCTCTAGTCTACTATTTATACTCTGTAGTGCATTTTAAATTCCAAGTATTGAATTATTTATCTCTGATTAATTCTTTTTGTTTTTTTTTTAAATAGACTCTACACCTACTGAAGGCTTGAACTCATGACTCTGAGATCAAGACCTGACCTGAGGTCAGAGTCCAATACTTAAGTTACTGAGCCACCCAGGCATGTCTCTGACTGGTTCTTTTTGTTGTTGTTGTTTTCTATCTCTTTGTTGAGGGTCTTACTGAGATCCTCCACCCATTTCTCAAGTCTGTTGAGCATCTTTATTACCATTACTTTAAATTCTCTAACTGTCATATCAATTACCTCTGTTTTATTCAGCTCTCTTGCTGTGATTTTGCCCTCTTCTTTCATTTGGGACATAGTCCTCTGTCACCTTATTTTGTTTGATTTTCTCTGTCTGTTTCCATGTATTAGGAAACTCTGCTGCATCTCTTGTTCTTGAAAGAGGTGGCCTCATGAAGCTGAGGTCCTGTAGGGCCCTGCAGTGTGATGTCTCTTGTTCAGCAGAACCTGACACTTTAGGAGTGTCTCCTGTTTTGTGTGCACCCTACTGTTGTGGCTGAGCCACATTGCCTTCAGTTCAGTCATCTGCAATGGTTCTCCTTACCTGTTGGGGCAGGATTTGGTCCCTGTGTGGTTAGTGGACTACTCTGGAGCCAACTTTATCTTGAGTTGGATCAGACTGGTTGTTCGCCAGAGCTGTGGTCACATAGAACTGTGAGGCTCTCTTTTCTGTGTTATCCCCTGAGAAGCTTTCTTGGTGAGTGGATCCTATAGTCAGACCAGATGTCTGCTCCCTGTCCTTTTTGGGGGCCACAGTCAAACTGATGTATGTGGTTACCTTTCCCTCTCCCTGGGGAAGGTGTCAGTTTGGAGTGGTGCTGTTCCCTACTGGGGCTCTTGCACCCTCCCAGGCATGGGGCACTGCTTTGGATGGATTTCTGCCGAGGGTGTGTTGGATTGAGAGGGTCCACAGGAGAATGCTCGGGCAGGGTCACTGTCAACATTCTAGGTGGGAAGTGTTCACACTGTGTAGGTTCTTGCAGGTGTCCATATATCTAGGCTGGGCAGGGGGAAAGGATGGTGCTTGCCAGCACTTTTTTTCTTGGAGGAGTCACCCACTGGTTCCTGTACCTTCTGCACATGTTCTAAAATTAGGAAATAAATCTTCCTGTATATCCTAGGTGCTTTTCAAATTGCTGCTTCGCTGTCACATCTCAGCAGTGTTGTTTGTTATGCTGTCTCTTAAAGGCAGGATTCCATTTCCTATCCCCCTCCTGCTCTCCCAGAGCCATGCCTGCTGCTTTTTAAGGTTCCAGGTGTTAAGCCCCACTGATTTTAAGAATTTGCAAACTTAAGCCCCCTGGTTTTCAAAACCAAATGTTATGGGGATTCGTCCTCTCAATGCAGATTCCCCATGCCTGGGATTCCTGGTGTGGGGTGTATTCCTTTGTCTTCTCTGTGCCTTTCGTGTCCCTCCTTCCTTTAGATAGTCTTATGAGTCAGTTTGGTTCCTAATCATGTCTCTACCCTTCCTACCTTTTTTGATGTGGCCTCTTTCCTACCGTTAACTGTGGAGAGTCTATTCTGCCAGTGTTCAGGTTATTTTCTGGATTGTTTACACTGATGTAGCTGTTATCTCAGTGTATCTATCCATGGGATGAGGTGGCTATCCATGGGATGAGGTGAGTTTGGGATCCTCCTACTGTGCCATCTTCTCCACATGTCCTACGAGTTTTATGGTTTTATATCTCACCAGTTTGGTCCTTAATCCATTTTGAGTTTATTTTTTGTTTCTGGCGTAAGAAAGTGGTCTAGTTTCATTCTTTTCCATGTGGCTGTCCAGCTTTCCCACAAGCATTTATTGAAGAGACTGTCTTTTCTCCATTATATATTCTTGCCTCCTGTGCCACAGATTAATCACTTAAACATGGGTTTATTTCTGGGTTCTGTAGTCTGTTTTATTAACCTGTATGTCCATTTTTATGCCAGTACCATACTGTTTTGATTACTACAGCTTTGTAATATTTGAAATCTAGAATTGTGATGCCTTTTTCTTTTTCAAGATTGCTTTGGCTATTTGGGGTTGTTTGTGGTTCCATACATGTTTTAGGGTTATTCTAGCTCTGTGAAAGATTCTGTTGGTATTCACTGAAAGCTTTTTAAGGAAAGAATGGGAGACAGAAATAAGGTGGCCTTTTGATTACTCTCATAAGTGATTATTGATTGTATATATCATGCATATTTAAACCTCACAACTGTGTATGGTACATTTCATCATCCCCATCTCTCAGATTAGGAAACTGAGGCTTAAAGAGATTAAGAAATTTTCCCAAATCAACACACCCGGTAAATGCCAGCGTCAAGATCGGACACCAGGTCCGTTAGACTTCAGCCCAAGGCCAGTGCTCTCATCACTCTACCATGCCAACTCAGCAGGACTGTGAAGGTTTTCTGGCATGTTTCCAGGGCTTGAGTGTCTTGAAAATGTTGAGTACTTCACTCCTCACTTTTAAAGCATAATCTTAATACATCTTTCAAAATTAATTTGCTTTTCTTCCTAAGGTTCAGTAGGAGTTGCCAAAATAATAGATTATCTGAGACAAGAAAGTAGTCAAAATTATGAAGATAGTGGACTTGAGGAGCTATGGAACATACTTGATCCTAAAAAGGGAGACCTGCATGTGGACCTGGAAATTTTTCGTGCCATCATGAAAGAATGGATGGCTTGCTGTAGAATCAAATGGTAATCATTGGGGCGCCTGGGTGGCACAGTCGGTTGAGTGTCCAATTCTTAGTTTCAGCTCAGGTCATGATCTCAGGGACATGATCTCCAGGTCATGAGATGAGCCCATGTCCAGCTTGGCACTCAGTGTGGAGTTTGCTTGAGATTCCCTCCACCTCTCCCTCTCCCCACTGTTCTCACACCCCAAGATCTCTCTCTCTTTCTCAAATAAATAAATCTTTTAAAAAATAATAATCATAGTTCCAACAGAATAAATATCCAGGTTCTGTTTTAACAACTTATTACAGCTAATGCTAATCACTGTTTTTTTGTGTTGATGAAAGTACTATAATCCAGTGCTCCTCACACGGTAGCATGCACTGGAATCACCTGAACTATTTATCATGCCTGATTGTTGCCCCCCAACCATGATTCAGTAGGTCTGCGGTGAAGCCTGATAATTTGCATTTCTAACCTATTTCCAAGTGATAATGATGTTGATGAGCGTATGTGTACACATGGCAGGGATGAGTGTGCTTTGAGAATGTTTTATATTTGTTATGTTAATCCTTGTAACATCCATTTATTGTGATTAAGGGCAGCACATATTATTTTGTTCTCACAAAGAATTGAACTGACATAGGAGTCAAGCAGATTATTGATAATGACTGGCAAATCTCCAAATGCATTTAAACTCAGAGTGAATGCCTTTTAAAGGTCAGTGGGGGATAATTAGGCAGTGAATGTAATTTGAAAGCCTAGGATAAAGAGAAACTAAAGGGAAAAGGAAAAAAGTTGTAGAATTGGGGGGAAAAAAAGATGAAGGTGGAGAGTAAGCCTGATACCATACAGCTATCATTCTCTGGAGGAACCTGGAGAAATTTTTCATTCTTTCACAGGACGCCTAAGTTCTCTGGCTTTTAATCAGCTACCATCTACCAGCTTTTCTATACTAGAAATTTTCTTAAATAAAACTGCAAGCCTAAAAAGTGCCAAAACTTGCTAGATTTCATGTAGGGTTAGGATGTCTAGATGACGTAAGAAAAGATGACCAAAATGTTGTTTGCCAAGAGCAAGTTAATCATGAAAGCAAGATAAATACATAAAAGTATCGGATTTTACTAGTAATCAAAGAAATACAAATAAAAACAGCATACCAGTTTTGCCCATCAGTTTAGCAAAATTTTAAAAGAATAACTCTACCCTGTGTTGTCAGGGTAGGTGGAGAAATAAGTCTCCTTTCATACATTGTTGGTGGTAGTGCAAGTTGCATAGTTTTTTCAAGAATGATTTAGGAAATTATGTGATTAAAATTATGTGAGGTATTTGGGCTAGTCCTGTAACTTCAAGAAAATCATATCCCTAATATGTGTGTTTTTGATAGTGATAAATGTAAGCAACTTATAAATTTTAATATAGTCAGATTAATTATAATACTTCCATCCACTAGAATCCTAAATAATCACTCAAAATTATAATTAGATAAACATCTGAGAAAATATTCATGTATATTTATTTCAAATATGACCGTTAATAGATATATGTATTATAAACCCATATTTATCAAGAAAAATATGCATGAAGAAAGTGGGGAAGAATGTATTTGGAAATGATTATCTTTCCATGATGGTTTCAACATTGTTATTTTCTCCTGCATTTTCCCATTTTTCTGTAATACTTAGGTTTGTATAATAAAACAATTAATCCATTATAAAATGATGTGAGGATAAAAAAAAATTTTATAACAAAAGTGAAGAAAACATATGGGAGGTATAAACAGAAAATAGAAGAACAGAAACTCAAATGGTGATGATATAGAGCTATCAATAGTAAAGTGGTACGTGATTTATTTTGACAGACCTCTCACATTGAAACGCAATGAGATGTTAGTACAGATATAGAGAATTCTGTAGCTGTTCCAGAAACAGTTTAAGTAGTTGGCATTTAGAAAGATTAAGTAAAACTTACATCATAGTATAGAGACTCTTAAAAAGGAAATGGCTGAAACTTTAATCTGTTTATTTTGAGGGTTAGAGCTAGAATTTGTGTACTGGACAGTGGACTATAGAGAGCTTTCCCCAAATTTCAGGAGCCAGTGCTCAAAGTATAATTTGTCTAGGTTCAACTTGGTTTTCCATGAGAAAGGAAAAATGATTAACACCATGAATGTATCCTGAGATATTAGTTGTTCATGCCTTTTCATTCCCATTTTTTTTTTTTTAAGATTTTATTTATTTGACAGAGATCACAAGTAGGCAGAGAGAGAGGAGGAAGCAGGCTCCCCTTTGAGCAGAGAGCCCGACGTGGGGCTCGATCCCAGGACCCTGGGATCATGACCTGAGCCAAAGGCAGAGCCTTTAACCCACTGAGCTACCCAGGTGCCCTCATTCCCAATTTTTAAGATTTTTAAATTTAAGAACTTTTAAAGTTTTAAAATTTTTAAAATTTGTTATCTCAGCAAATACTCACTTATAACTCCAAACTATGTTGCCGTCCTAATCCCTTGAGGCCTCCCGTTGCCAACCATAGCTGCTGTACATCGTTAGCTTCCTGCTTCTGCAGGCACATTTTTTTTTCCAGGTTAGATGAAAATGTTATGGAGAATAGAGGTAATGCCTTAAGTTTCTTTTCTATCACCCCATCTAAGCACGATGTTGAACTCCAAATAGTTGCTGAATGAATAGATAGTTTTAAGATTCAGAAAGAGGGGCACCTGGGTGGCTCAGTGGGTTAAAGCCTCTGCCTTCGGCTCAGGTCATCTCAGGGTCCTGGGATCCAGTCCCGCATCTGGCTCTCTGCTCAGCGGGGAGCCTGCTTACCCCACCCTGACTCTCTGCCTACTTGTGATCTCTGTCAAATAAATAAATAAAATCTTAAAAAAAAAAAAAAAGAAATATCTGAACAGAAAAGTTACAGAGCACATCTGAAAAATGAGCTGGGCTTTGTGCTGGTGTAGAATCCCGACTCAGTGGTTTTGTGTCTTTGATCGCCGGGACAGAATGAGAGGTGCATCAGGAGGCAGGATCGATGATTCCGTTTTTGAACAGGACAGCATAAAATCAAGTAGAGCAAGTATGTACGTGTTTCTTCCTGTTTGTTCTGCCGCTTTCTTGTGGTTTATGAAATGGATTATTCATAAAACACTCTTGTATGTATTTCAGTTAAGATGACCACAGATAAAACAGAACCTACGTCACGGAGCTTCGAGGCTTTGAGTGGAGATTCGTCTAAAGGAGTCTTGTAAGCCTTCTTATTTGTATACGTGCTGCCAAAGCAAGCACATAAGCCTCCTTATTTGGAATGCTTTCTCAAGCACCTCTTATTTCTTTTTCTCATTTATTTTATAGGTTTGCGTGTCTTACTTATGATAAAGCCACTTAGCGTGTGTGCTTGTGTGTGGCTAACCAGTCTTTTATTTAACTATCTGTCTCAATTTGCATTAGAACAAATTTCACCAGGAGCATGATTTATATAAGACTAGTATTATATGAATTAACATTTCCTCACTAATAAAATCCTTCTCTCACATTAACTTCATGTGCTTTCCATGGAAAACAAGTTCCATCTGAGGTAGAATTATGACACTGACCTTAAGCACTTTGGGTGATTGTTTTTAAAGCACCTCTTGAATAAACTTCTAGATATGAATGGGAAAAGTTTTTTCCACTAGATGTGTATGAGTTTTAGATATCAAGAAGAGGAAATTCTGTCCCTCCCTTATTTTCTCTTTGCCCCTTTGGGTTTGTCCATGCAAAAAGGTGTGGTAGGAATGTGGACCCAAGCTGTAGGATAAAATGGCAAAAAGGTAGAGAAGGCCTGGGACTCCATGAAACCCCCCATCTAGACTCTCAAAGGGACTGTGATCTAATGTCAGGGTTGAGAGCGACACAAACATTCACATGCTGTAGAAAATATTAGGAAAGATGAATACTAAACTGTGAACTACAGGCTGCAAACATAAGTGTCTAGGAATTGTTTCCTAGTTAAGGCTTATTAAAACGTGCCAAGATCCCTTGGCTGAAAGAGTAACAATGTGTCAATTCATTTCAGAATCTCTCATAACCCTGGCAGAAATGGAAACTTCATTGTAGTCAGAGGCTAGTGTTAGAAGCAAAGTGGAAAAGAATTAACAAAACTGTGGCACCTGGCTTCACAGCTGGCAGATGCTGAATATTCGGCAATTTTGGAAAAATCTCTGCTACTGTAACAGTGCTTGAATAATTATTTATTGTATAAATGGACTACACTTACAAGGATGGAAAGGGATAAAATAGAAAGTCGCACGGTGATATATGCCTTATTTTGCTTGGGAGGAATTGGAGATGATTCTCATTCATTCTTTCACCCACAGAGAGGAGTCTGATTTGATGACCTATGTAGCAGACCTGCATTCTAACAAGCAGAAATTGGAGGAGGAAAATAATAAGTTTAAATCAGCATTAGAAACCTTGGAGGACGCTAACTGCCAGTTATCAAAGGATTGTACTGAATTGCGCCATCAGATAAAAAGGTGAACCACTGAGAAGGGTAGAGTATGCTGGGAGCTCTCTCTTCTTCTCCCTTTTTTTAAAAAACAAAGTCTGTTTTTTAAATTGGGTAATAGTGCACATGGTATAAAAATTTGCCCTTTTAGAGTGTACAATTCAGTGTTTTTTAGTAGATTCACAAGGTTGTGCAGCCAGTTACATTGATCTACTTCATCACTCCAAAAAGGAAACACAGAGCTGTTAGCAGTCACTCCCCATTTCCCTCCCTCTCTGCCCCTGACAACCACTAATCTGTCTGTGGATTTGCCTGTTCTGGCCATTTCACAGAAATGGAACCGTCCAACATGTGACCTTTGTGTCTGGTTTCTTTCACCTAGAGCAATGTTGTCAAGGTTCCATGTAGCATATGTGGAACGACTTCATTCCTTTTTGTGGCTGAATAGTGTTCTGTTGTATGGGCGTACAGTTTTGTCTACCTATTCTTCAGAGAATGGATATTTGGGGGCATTATAATTTTTTGGCTATTATAAATACTGCTACTGTGGACATTTGTACACAAGTTTTTGTGTGAACATAGGCTTTTAGTTCTCCTAGGTATATTACCTAGAAGTGAACCTGCTGTGTAGTGCCTTACTTTGAAGAACGGCCGAACGGTTTCCAAAGCAGCTGTACTGTTTTAGATTTTTGCCAGCAGTGTTTGTCAGTTCTTCTCTAGCAATGATATCCTTTATGTCCTTTGAAGCAGTGCTGCCTATTTAAGACCAATATGCCTGTTGACCAACTGTGGATCTATCCAAAGCATTCTGGGGTTCCGCTGAACTCTTACTCCATGCAAGTTCCCATGCTAAGTACCGTTGACCCTTGAATAACAGATTTGATCTGTATTGGTCCACTTACATGTGAATTTTCTTCAATAAATACAGCACTGTACTGTAAATATATTTTTCCTTCCTTATGACTTTTTTTTTAAAGATTTTATTTATTTTTTTGACAGACAGAGATCACAATTAGGCAGAGAGGCAGGCAGAGAGAGAGAGAGGAAGGAAAGCAGGCTCCCCGCTGAGCAGAGAGCCCGATGTGGGGCTCGATCCCAGAAACCTGGGATCATGACCCGAGCTGAAGGCAGAGGCTTTAACCCACTGAGCCACCCAGGTGCCCCTCCTTATGACTTTCTTAATGACATTTTATTTTCTCTAGCTTTATTGCAAGGATACAGTATATAATACACATAACATAGGAAATATGTGTTAATCAACTATTTGTGTTATTGGTAAGGCTTCTGGTCAACAATAAGCTATCAGTAGTTTAGTTTTTGGAGAATCAAAAATTACACATAGATATTTTGGGCGGGCTGGTGCACCTAATGCCATGTTGTTTAAAGGACAACTGTGTTATGAGAGATTCATTGACAAGTCGGGTTTAAAATATGCTTTTAGGGTGCATGATAAGGATGTCAGATGATAAGAAAAGTTAGGACTTTAGCTTAAGATAAAAAAGGACAAAGGACCTAGGTGACATATAGTATCAAGTACTGATAAAATGAATTGTGAGGAGATGCCTGAGCTTCAGGTAAAAAGCAACAAGTTTCTCACAAAGGCTGCAGTTACTGATGTAGGTGCTAAAATTTTGAACAGAAAAGTTCTAAGTTAACCTGGAAAGACAGTAGAGCATTCTGACCAAGGATTCTTTCCCTCATCATTTTTGGCCAGCCAGTCCAGCCTCCAAGCTTATCTTAAAATAAGTAAAAAGAACTGCTTACCTTAAGCTTTCTCCATTCCACAATAGGCTTATTTATTATTTATTTGAAGTATTCAAAATATTTAAAATATTTTTTTAAAATATCTGTGTCTTAGATGAATCTACAACTTAGTTCAACTACACATCATCTTTCACCTGGATCCCTCAACAGCCTCCTGATTGGTCTCCCTGCCTTTCCAAAACTCGTGTCCCAGGGGCAGGAGTGCTCTTCCTAAATCCAGTCTGACCACATCATGCCCCTGCTTTAAACACTTCCATTGACCCCCTATCACCTTCAAGATGAAATTCAGTTTGCAGAGTCCTTCCTGACGGGGTTTCTGTTGCTTACCTCTACTCCTATTTTCCACTCTAGGCTCCCACAATATCTAACTGCTTGCAGCCCCTCAGTGGGCTTCTGTTTGTTCTTTCTCCCCACTCCTCCTCACCTTCCCATTATCTGAGCTGCCTGCCTTTTACACAGTATCTACAGAACTTGGGTTCACTCTAGTCTTGGTTCTTATCACACTGTATTATAATTATGATTGTGTGCTTACCCTTTTAGTCTATAAATTCCAGGAAGTTAGAGTTCTCATGATTGGACACACTTTTGTCTTCTTCAGGGCCTAACATAATGCCTGGTACAAAGGTGGAGCTCCACGAACATTTGTTGAATGATCAATGTAATTCCTGAGCGAGGAAAAAAATGGTACTTTGAGTTCCTGCTCGGAAAACAGTTTATAATCCAGTGGGAATACTAATAAGCAATTCAATGATATGGATTACCATAATTCATTTAATAGAGTTTTTTGCTGTTGGACATTTAGGTTGTTTGGGATTGTAAACAATGCTATAATAAACTTCTAAAGTAAAATACACAGACACTATTTGTAATGATTTGTTTAGTGGTCATCTCCTTCACTAATATTTAACTGCTACAAGGGCAAAGACTATGTCTCTTGCTACCATCATAGGCTCCTTTGTGGCATACAGCACCTGGAACATGGTATTATTTAATATTTGTAGAATTACATTACATTAATTACTAATGTAATTAATAATGTAATTACATTACATTAATTACTAATGTAATTAATAATGTAATTACATTACATTATGTAAAAAATATTACATAATATTTATAGAATTACATTAACCAAATAGTATATCTTAATGGGAGGAGAGAACCATGTGATGAAAGCTAATGATGAATTTCAGAGGGAGACTCCAAATCTTTATCCTCAAGAATATGTTTGTTTCCTTCTATCTCTCTTCCCCCTACCACACGTCCCCCAAATCTCTTGCTTTTCTAAGGACCATGAAAGATCACGGGTATATTTTTACTATTGTTGGCATCTGTTTAAGCCTTTAGTGGTTTTCAGCTTGGGTCCGAAAATAGTCCTTGGCTTTACTTTGTATCTTTGACGGTTATATTTGAGGTTTTGCTCATTGCCTCCCCGCCCCCTCGCCAACCTCCTGCCACAGTGCCCACCAAGCTATTATGAGAACAAATCTGTTAGAAGAAGAGCTGGAGGAACTGAAAATTGGTATGAATGCTTCTGAAGAGCAGAAGACCGTGATTGTAGCCCAGAACAAACAATTAGTAAGTCATTCAAGTACTTTGAATTTGGCACATAGGTTACATAACTGAAATCCAAGAGGGTTTATTTGGAGGCAAAAATCAGAAGTCAGTGGGCTGATGAATGAATTGGTAATACCTTAGAAGAGCAAAGGCAAATAGGATAAACTGTTTTTCTTTTCAGCCAAGATTAAAATTCTTTACAAATCAGTCATATTCCAAGTGGTTTGTAAAGATCTAGAAGATCTCTGGAATGCTTCCTGGAGCTGAGAGGTGAATTCATAAATACCTGATACCAAAAGCCACTTTAATTTTTTTAAAAAAAAAAAAAAAAAAAAAAAAATTCTCCACCACATTTTCACGTTGTTCTCGGGTTTAAAAAAAAAAATCCATTATCTTAGTACTTATAGATTAAGGAGCTCCGTAAATCCGTCCTTACACTAAATAAACACAGGCTTGAAATTTTTAGAGCAAAACATTATTTAGACTAAGCTTTACTGCCAAAAAAGTAGTTTTTTAATTGAGAATATTAAACTCTTATCTAGAGTCTTAGTAATAATCTTCCAAATCCTGATATATTCCAGCAGTATTCTAGCATTGCTAACAATGGTGGGGTCAGATGACAGTCATTCAGACTAGTTCTTTCTTAGATCTGTAAGGACCAAGAGGCTGGGACTCCAGGCCTAAGGCATTCCCACAACCAACACAGATTAGTTTAGCTCTTGCCTCATTAGCACAATGTGCTACGCATGCTAGACTAGAGGGGACTAGACTCCTCAAGTGTCAGATGACTGCATGTCTCTGAATGCAGTACAAGGAAGACTCAATTTGGGACCACAGAGGAACTTGCCTGTGGAGGAAATGTTGAGAAATGAGTGAGTAGCCACTCCTGCAAGTCAGACTGCCGGCATCTGGGTCCTGACTGCAATGGCTGAGTAACTTTGGGCAAACCACCTAATAGATGAATTCATACTACCCGTGGTAAGCGGACAGTGGGAAAGTAGCAGGGAAAGAAGCCAGGCTATTCCTTTTTTGTTTTTCCTCTTTCCCTCCCTATCAGATTGAGTCAAGGAGAAGAGTGATTTCTTAGAAATCCCAAGAAACTAGAAGCCAAAGGCTTAGCTTCATACTGAGAATATTCCCAGACTAAGCTCCCTTGTGTCATGTCAATACCATGTTTAAAGTTGATAAAGAGAAAGAATGTCAGTAGTCTTCGAGGTAGATATGTGATATTTTCATAAACTTCTAAATACTTTTTAATTCCTTCCTCTTAATCAGGAGACAGAAAACCGGGCTCTGATTCTTAAGATTCGGATTCTCCAAGAAGAGGTATGCTCAAATTGTTAAACACAGGTACAGATAAACATATGGAAATCATACAGGTGTGAGTTCTGACTCTGGATTAATTAGAAATCGTGAATATTCTGGCTCCTATAAACCAAAGACCACGTTGCTTTTTCAAATTATAAGTAAAGAAGAGTGGATAGGACTTTCGTGTCTGAAAAGAAGTACATTATTACCTTTGTAATTATCCATGGAAGAATGGGGTTTAAGAAATTCAGATTTAAGATAAAATGAAATTAACCTGTATAAATATAAATCAAGAAGGAAAATGTAGACATTATTAATTTTCCATTATTATTCTACTGCTGGGAAAAGTCTTGAGTCTAAGACCCAGTCACTGGGTCTGAAAGTCTGACTTTGGAAAAACCAGTTATCTTTTTGGGGTTAACAATACCTATTCCCTACAGTTACTTTGGAGATTAAGATAATGCATATGAAACCATTTGGTGAATCATACTGTGCTTCATATGCATTAGGAAATATTAGTAAAATGTCTAAAAAATTATTATTTGCCTTAAGTTTTTTAAGCAACAGCATTAAAGCATTGAAGTAACAGGTAACAGAGCTACTTGTAAGCTACTATTTTGGAGGAAAATTCTAAGTACCTTTTTAATGTCAAGTTTATGTACAGTTTTTATTTGGGCTTTATATAAGTTTATCGGGTATTTATTAAGCTGTGATGAACAGTCTGTGATGGAGTGTATGAGGCAACTGGACATTAAAGAACTCTTACAGTGGGTTGGAAATGAACAATTAAAAGATTGGCAAGAAACTCTGCATTAGAGTTAAATGTGGTGTAGCAACAAGACTAGGTTTTCATGAAACTAGTGCCTTGCAGTTAAGCTCTCAGTGTAAGATATTTTTCTCCTTGTATTTAAGATGATTGACTATTGTCAAAAAATTACACAGAACTGAGGTAGAAGGAAGAACATGTGAAACCCTTCACCATGAGAGCATTGCAACTCTTTTTTTTTTTTTTTTAAAGATTTTTATTTATTTGAGAGAGAGAGAATGAGAGAGACAGAGAGAGCATGAGAAGGGGAGTAGGAGAGGGAGAAGCAGACTCCCCGCTGAGCAGGGAGCCCAATGTGGGACTCGATCCCAGGACTCCAGGATCATGACCTGAGCTGAAGGCAGTTGCTTAACCAACTGAGCCACCCAGGTGTCCCTGCAACTCTTGACTTGCATTAGAAAAAGCACATAAATATCACTAATAGCTGAGGTGCCTTTAGGGGATTAAAATCTGATGCACCGTGAAGAGTAACAGCACAATAGCTTGGATAGTTTCTTTCATTTATTGATTCATTCATTCAACACACAGTCAATTGGGAGACCTTCGTGAGCCAGGCACTCTTCTAGATGTTGAGGATATAAGCTTATGTAGAAAGGCCCATGAGGAACTAGCGTGTTAGGTGGTGATTAGTGCTATGGAGGAAAGAAAAGCAGAAAACAGAATTGTGGGACAGTGCAATTTAAACTAGAGTGGTTAGGAAAAGTAGCCCTAGGAAGTTAATCATTTGATCAGAACAAAAGGAAGTTTATCAGTGAAGGAGCCTTCCAGGCAGAGGAAACTAAGCTATAAGCCCTCAGGTTTAGCCTTCCTGCTCTTTCTGAGGGACAGTGAGGCTTGTGTGGCTGGAGCAGAGGTGACAAGCATGAGAAGTAGAGCTTCAGGGAACCAGACCGACAGCATCTCATCTAGAGAGTGCACGGACTCTGGCTGTTTCCACTGACTGAGATGGGAGTTGTTGGACAGTTTTGAGCTGAGGAGAAATGTGATCTAATTTTTATTTTGACAAGATAACTCTGGCTGCTGCATTTAAAATCAACTGTAGTGGGGCAAGGGAAGAAGTGAGAGACCAATTACGAGCTCTTTAACATGCAGGCATAAATTTACCGGGGGCTGACTGAGGCAGTAAATGTGGAGGTGGAAAGAAGTGTTAGATCAGCAAATGCTTTATAACATATCCAAATGTATTTACAATATGTTCTGTTGATATGGAAATACTCTTCTGATGGTTTCTAAGTCTCCATGAGATAAAAGTGAAGTCATCAGCTGATAGTGAGGAAGTTGGAGGGAGTATTGAAAGTTCCAGGAGAGAGGAGGGATGAAATGGGCCAGGAGTTGGTAAACTTTCTGTAAAGGATCTGATAGTAGATATTTTTAGGCTTGCCAGGCTAAAAGGCCTTTGTTGTAACCACTCACTTCTGCCATTGCCCTATGAAAGCAGCCATAGACAATACGAAAAAATCAGGATCTCTATTGTGTTCTAATAAAACTTTATTTACAAACCAGGTGGTCAGCTAGAGTTGACATGTGGTGGTGGAGTAGGGTGGGGAAGTTGGTGTAATTTGCAATTCCCTAATTCAAGTCAGTGGCCACATGAATGGACTAGGATTGTGTGAAATGATCACCAGTCAACATTGAAGTTAAAAATTATGAATTGAATGTGTGACCTCTTGGTTCATTTGTATTTTTCTTTAACAATGTTTATCTGGAATGGTGCTGTCATGGAGTCGGTGGCAAACAGAACTTAAGCAAATACTAAGAGGTAGGCAGGGGGGAAGCCAGGGAATAAGGGGGGAAGTGGAAGAGCGGTATTATAATGATTGACCATGGAAGAATTTAAGCTGTAGGAAAGAGGGGACTGAGTTCACAGGAAGGGGGAAGGATAATGAGAGGGTGGTAGGACCAAAGCAGGCTTCAGTGGAGCCTGAAGGTTTGTTGGCTCTCAAAGAAGTAATCTGGAAAGATGAAGTGGCTGAAGAATGAGATGTTTGCAATTAAAATAATGGAGGGGTCACACTTGTTGGGAGTGACAAGTTTGAAGGTTAAGATGTGACTGCAGTGTGCATGGCCAAGGGGCTACGGAGGATAAGAAGGGACTCCCAAGGGTATTCCTGGATGGTCATGATAAAAGGACCTTGTTACTTTTGGATAAAATCTAAAGTTTTGTTCCTTAGTTTAAAATAGATTGTGATGTTAATGATGAAAATACAACTTCCTAAAAAAAAAAAAACTTTGTTCTTTTATTTTTTTTCTAAATCTAAGAATATTATCTTCTTTTATGTCAGAATACTAAGAACATTATGGATATATATAAATTGGAAAAGAAGATTGAGGAATTGTCTAAAACTGAGACAGAGCATCAAGTAAGCAGTTCCCAAATACTGGTAAAATATCTTCTTTTGTCAAACCAATGTTACTTTATGAAGGCGTATGTAACTCATTGACAAAATAACCTTTGATTATAAAGTTGAAATTTGTGTTCCTAAAATGTCAGAATTCCAGTGTGTAAAACACTGTGTTTTTTTAATGTAATGGCTTTACTGATATATAATACACATGCTATTGAATTAATCCACATAAAGTATGTAAGTCAGTGGTTTTATATGCAGCTATCACCAAAACCAATTTTAAAACCTTTTGAAAAAGATTTTATTTATTTGACAGAGATCATAAGCAGGCAGAGAGGGAGGCAGAGAGAGAGAAGAGGAAGCAAGCTCCCTGTGGAGCAGAGATCCCAATGTGGGGCCTGGTCCCAGGACCCTGAGACCATGACCCGAGCCAAAGGCAGAGGCCCAAACCACTGACCTATCCAGGCGCCCCAATTTTAAAATATTTTTATCATCCCAAAAGGAATCCCTTTAGCAGTCATTCCCCATTCCCCACCAACCCTAGACAACCACTCCAGAGACTTTTTGTCTCTATAATACAGATTTCCTTATTCTGGACATTGCATATAAATGGAATCATATACACTATATGGTCTTTTGTGATTGGTTTCTCTCACTAAGCATAACGTTTTTCAAAGTTCATTCATGTTATAGCATGTATCAATACCTTATTTCCTTTTATTATTGAATAATATGCCATTGTATGGCTACACCACATTTTATTTATCAATTCACTGGTTCATGAGCATTAGAGCTGTATCTACTTTTTGACTGTTATGAATAATACTGCTATGAAATTTGTATATATGGTTTTGTGGCAATCTATATTTTCTTTTAAGTATATATTTAGGAGTGGAACTACGGGGTCATATGATAGCTCTATGTTTGACTTTTTTTTTTTTTTTTTTTTTTTTTTTTTTTTTTTTTTTTTTTTTTTGAGAGAGTGTGCACAGGTGAGTGGGGTGAGGGACAGAGGAAAATGGACAGAGAATCCTAAGCAGGCTTCATGCTTAATGAAGAGCCTGACACAGGACTTGACCCCACAACGCTTAGACCATGACCAGAGCCAAAATCAAGAGTCAGATGCTTAACTGACTGAGCCTCCAGGTGCCTTTTTAGGAGCTTCCACACTCTTTTCTGGTACCATTTTACATTTCCACCAGCTATGCATGAAGGCTCAGATCCCTCCACATCCTTGCCAACACTTGTTACTATTTATTTTTTTTATTACAGTGGCAATTTCTAATATAAGAGTATCTGGTTTTGTAAATCCCTTAATCAGCAAGGATTCAGCTGTTAGGACTTCTTAATGCAGAAAATGAGAGTTGGGGGAAGAAAAAAACTACCCTTCGTTGAATTAAGGGATGATAGCCTACAAAAATGATTTTTTAGCCATATTGCCTCTAAAAAGTCTATATTTAGTGTATATTTTTGTTATATATTCCATACATTCTTATTAGGAAACTAAAGAATATTAATTTAGGAATTTTTGTCATACTTATTGTCTAATAGTTTCTTTGAGTAATACTTTTTGTTGTAGTGTAAATGTACTGTAGTGTAGTGTAGTGTAAATTTCATTTACATATGTGGAGTTTTCAAGTTTCCTAGCAGATACCTAAGTTCCATGTGTATGCGTGTGTATACATATGCATATATTAGGACATGTTTACATATCTCATAGTTTAGACATTCAAATTAATTTTATTCTAGGAATAACTCTTTCTGGAAAACAACTGCCATGAACAAGTAGTAGAAAGAGTCAGAAGACTTGGGTTCAAATCCTGTCCTCTCTACTTAAAATCTGTATGACCTCAAACAAGTAGTTAACCTCTCTAAAAGTCTGAATTATCTCATCTACTAAATGGCTGTGATATTTTCTACCTAATCCCAAAACTTGGTAGAAACTCAAATGAAACGATTATGTGAAAAAACCTTTAGAACTATAAAGGGGTATCAAATATGTATGATTTTATGATTCTACTTCTGACTATGCTGATTATTTTTCTAGGTTTTCAATTCAACTATACACACACACACACACACACACACACACACACACATATGTATATATATGTAATTTTTAAAAAGATTTTATTTATTTATTTGACAGAGAAGGAACACCAGGGGGAGTAGGAGTGGGAAAAGCAGGCTCCCCGCTGAGCAGGGAGCCCGACGTGGGACTCGATCCTAGGACCCTGGGATCATGACCCAAGCCAAAGGCAGATGCTTAACTACTGAGCCATCCAGGCACCCTATATATAATATTTAGAAGCCTTTGCCAACAAGCTTGCTTTTGGTTTGAATAAACTGCTATATTCTAATATTTACTTTGCTAAAAAAAAAAAAAAAAAACAACACACATCTTGAACATTTTTAAGCTATGCTTTTTAAAGAGGAAGAGTATTTTTTTTTTTTTCTTGCAATCTGGCTAATCAGATTTTGGCAAGTCTAGGTTATATTGTTAGATAATCTGTGGGTTTCTGCAGTACTTGTTATCCAAGAGGATGAGTCTTCTTATATGTTCACATGGACTCTGTGCTCATATCCTATCACACTTTCATTTTTGGAAAAAAAAAATACTCAATTGGTCGTCTTGTTATATGAAGGGTAGAATTGTGGGGCGAACACTTGGCTAGAGCTGAAGATTCATAGTCTATCCTCAGGTCTGACCCTTACTGTGTGTGACATTGGGCAAGTCTCCTAATAGTGCTACGATTTGATTTCCTCACTGGTAAAGTGAAGGCAACAACCTTGGCCTCTCGGGTTGTTGGGAGGCTGATGAGGAAGTTGTTCATAAAGTAGGAAATGCGTGCCCATTAAAAGTGCTTGAGAAACATGTCTCCCTATTGGAATAATTTCATGGCATTATATTTCACCAAAGCAATGTCTCAATGGCCTTCCCTAAATTTATCTCTTTTCAGATGCAGTTACATACATATGAGAACACTTTGCTTAATAAAGATGCAAGCTTGCGGAAGGTTGGTACCATTCGTTCACATGAAGTTCCATGGGATTTGCTAACTCTCCCTAAATCATAACAGATATGCATTTGAATAACTTCACCTCTATTAAAGTACCTGATCCTACTATCCTGTGGCAAGACTTTCCTTTATATAAGAACATTCACAAAAATGTTCTTCTGAGTGAAGAATACGGACTTCTCTGCCTTGGATAAGTTTTAACATATCCTCTCTAAATTCTGGTGGTTTTCATCCATTTATGTAATAAATACTAGTATGCCAATTTACCAGTTACTGGCTAGGTATGGTGATGTAGTTTTAAGTCATAATAACACAAATAAGTGCAGTCATTTATCTTAGGGAAAAAGAAGAATGTGTTCCCCAATTATTTTCTACCTAGTTTGATTGATTTGATAGGTAGGTAGGTAGGTAGATAACATTCTCCTTATCTTTATATTCTGTAATCATTGTCTATGTGATAACAAAATATTCTGGCTACAGAGATGCTGGTTATGGTGGCTTTAAGAGACATAGGAAGGACACAGTGTAAGTTAATAAACTTCCACATTCCAAGACAGGGAAGTAAATAAAAAGCCATGTTTCTCTTTTCCTTTCTCTGAATGTCATCAAGTTTCAAAGGAGTCCTATGAATTGTGGACATGGATGAGGTTACTGAATGTTGTACTGACTTTCTTTGTCGTGAGTGTTCTTTGTCTCCATACAGTGACATTATGGTAGTGGTGGCTGCTCACCTCCTCCATAACTCGGGTTTTCCCACCCTTTGCATTTATGCCCAACATTTCTAAGGTATTGATTGAGCACTTCCCGTTTGTCAGGTACCATGCTAGTCATGAGATAAAATTATAGGTCAGATATTGACCTACACACTGTGATTTTTACAGATTATCCCTTGAACTGGATAAAAATGGATGCCTTAATAATTCATTTGCAAGTAGACTAAATTTTTTCCTTAAAGGTGTCATGATAATAAATACAATTTTGACTTGAACTTAAGAATTACCCTTCAGGGGCGCCTGAGTGGCTCAGTGGGTTAAGCCTCTGCCTTTGGCTAAGGTCGTGATCTCAGGGTCCTGGGATCGAGTCCCGCATTGGGCTCTCTGCTCAGCAGGGAGCCTGTTTCCCCCTCTCTCTCTGCCTGCCTCTCTGCCTACTTGTGATCTCCCTCTCTCTGTCAAATAAATAAAAAATAAAATCTTTAAAAAAAGAATTACCCTTCAGAGTTTGATTTCATTGAACCAGACAAATACAAGCATAATGGCACAAGTTAGGTACAGCTGCCTTGCTGTTCCATACTTTCTGTGTGTTTTTAATCATAAACACAGACTGGCTTGGTTTTCAAATAATATTGGTAGAAGGTCTTACCATGTTTGGGCATTTATACTTCTTCTGTGGCTCTGATTAATAGTCTACATAATATGATTTGGTAGACTCATTTATTTGCTCTTCTCTCTTCTACTTTTCAGAAGGATTTAAGTATAGAAGAACTTAAGTCAACCATCATAGAATATGGAACCATTATAGAGGTATGCCATAATAATCTCAAAGTTTGCAAGGTGGGGTTGTTGAAATGTAAATCCCCCACTAAGTACAATATATAGCCTAATGTTGTATGTGATTGCAGAATTTACGAGGGGATAAAAACAAACTGACTCATGAGTTACAGCATTTGCAACAGGAACTTATTATGTAAGTAGAGCAACTTCTCACCAGCCTTCTCTCCTGTATCTCTATCCCACATTATTGGCCTGCTGAGTTATATACGATTCTTTGAACATGCCACATTCTTTTCTTTTGTACTTTCATAAGTGATATTTTCTCTGCTTTTCTCTAATAGAACTCCTCAAGTTTTCTATGACTCTCCCTTGCTTTTCTCTTACCTTGAAATTAAGAAAACCTCTCCAGTGCATGCATGACATGCTGTTCCTATCTCTTAGCACACATCACCTTATAATAGTTTGGTTTTGAGTATGCAAAATACGGTAGCCCAGGTGTCTACAGAAGCCATACAGATCCCAAAGGTAGAAAAATCACTGGGGTAAGTCCACATACTTATGAGAGTGACAACTGAGAAAAATGAATTAGCCATATGAAGGCCACCTAATCAAGAGTATAGGGACCCAGGGTGGCTCAGTCAGTTGGGCACGTGACTCTTGATTTCAGATCAGGTCATGATCTTGGGGTTGTGGGTTCTAGCTCAGCAGGGAGTCTACTTGAGATTCTTTCCCTCTCCCTCTGCCCCACCCCCACTTTGGTATGCTCAATCACTCACACACTCTCTCAAATAAGTAAATAAATCTTTAAAAAATATATATAGGGATGCCTGGGTGGCTCAGTCGGTTAAGTCACTGCCTTCAGCTCAGGTCATGATCCCAGGGTCCTGGGATCTAGTCCCACATCGGGCTCCTTGCTCGGCAGGGAGCCTGCTTCTCTCTCTGCCTCTGCCTACCACTCTGCTTGCTTGCGCTCTCTCTCACTCTCTCTCTCTGACAGGTAAATAAATAAATAAAATCTTTAAAAAAAAAAAAATATATATATATATATGGACCCAGTGTAGCTATATCTTCTGATTTTTTAAAGAAAAGCCAGAACTCTAGATTTTCAGTGAAGCTTTTTAATTTTTAATTATTGGCTCCAGGTGTTCAAAAAAAAAAAAAAAAAAGGCATGGCCTACTTGTTTGCAACCACATAGAGTCAGTCACTAATCTATGTAGCTCCTGGAGGACAGACTGTCATTTCTCTTGCTGAGTATCTTCTACAAACCTTGGCACACATGAGGGCCTACTGTGTTTAGTGATTAACCCCATTTTGCTGTCTTATAGTCCCATCTAACCAGACTAGACTATTGCTTTTGTTTTTTCAAGAAATGGGATCCCGTTGAATATTAGTGGAGAGTGTAATAGAATCATCTCTGAAGAAGAAAAATCTTTACATTGTGAACTCATTCTTGCTCAGTCTGCAGAGGTAGGTAATTATCATCAAATGGAAAGCTTGAAACAATGAGGCCACATGTAATAGCTCTCTATTAGGTGAAGGCCCAAGCTTGTTGATGAGTGCCTGTGGCATTTTGAGGAATCTGTTGATTATTTCTAGAATCCAAGTCCAAGGTCTCTTAGCCTGGGATGGTGGGGAGGGGGAAGACCTTTATCTTTTTCAAGTTATGGCTGAAAACCATAATGAGGATCAAGACTAAGGTTGAAGAAGATCATGTATTCAGTGAATCTGGACTTTAGAAATCTTTATATTCTTGATTTTAAGAGAAAGTATCTGTGCTGATCCCCAGCCTGGGGTCCAAAAGGTTACAATGGAGCCCCGTGAACCATTTTTCACCATTTTCCAAAACTATCAAAGCAAATGTATCTGCCAAAAATAAAGATGCTTAGAAATAACATTAAATCTCTCTGCTCCAAAATGTAATTATAGCAGCCCAATGTAACGGCATTGATTATTGCATTCTAAACAGAAAATAGAATTTTCATGTTTTGGGTTAATTTTAAAATACAAATGAATTATTTCTTCAATCTTTGTTAGGCAGAACCAGTTTTTTACAGCATGGGAGGAAATAGTCAAAAGGCTTTGTGATAATGAAATGTTGGGGATCCCCCCAATACTTTATTTTCATGCCTTTGTGCTTTCCAGTTTGTGCTTGTTATGTTAGGAAATGCTTTATTAGCAAATTGCTTTCTTTTCACCATTTTGATGGGCTCTCCATGTCTGTGGACGATGGATATGTCAGAATGTCCTCCTCTTGACAGCTGTGATATGACCTTGAAAGGAGAGGAAAAATGTCTTTGGGGCAAATGTTGTTTGAATTTCTCCTGCCAAGGATGCTGGGGCAACATATGCTGCCTTCATCTAAAGCTGTCTCAGGCAGCCTTGGACATTCTGCTGAGGGCTATGCTTTCCTGACATTCTGTTTCAAATACTCATCATCTTACTGTGTTTTTGAAACCAAGCCAAACTGCCAGACTCAGTGCAATGATGGCAAATCTGCCACAGCAGTCCTCTGCGATAATAATGATGTCAAGATGCCAGCCTGTGAAGTTTTAAACTTCTAAACAGGGGTTAAGCAGCTGGCGAAGTTCTGGCTCTGAGGTTTATCCCATTAATGGATTAGGAAGTTTGCCTTCTAATTGGAGTCTAGAAATAAGAGGTCTATAAATGTTTTCCAATAGACAACAAAAAGGAAGTTAAATGTGCTGTTGTCATATATCTAAAGTATGACAGGAGATGGATGCTTTGAGAGAACTATAAGAAATCGCCTTTGGTAAACATCATCTGAGAGTGTTTTTTATGAAAGGAAGGGAGAGACCAAAGAAGCCATCTGTTATCAGTGGGATTTATTGAACACCTTCCCAACAGTTGTTTTTTCTGTGAATTTCTTTACCTTCCCGTATTTTCATAAAATTAAAACCATAGCAGTTTATACTACCCACATGTAAATGTTACCTATTGGATAAATGCTTTTCCTTAAGAATGAATGAATGTGGGACGCCTGGGTGGCTCAGTGGGTTAAAGCCTCTGCCTTCAGCTCAGGTCATGATCCCAGGATCCTGGGATCAAGCCCCACATTGGGCTCTCTGTTCAGCGTGGAGTCTGCTTCCCCATCTCTCTCTCTGCCTGCCTCTTTGCCTACTTGTGATCTCTGTCTGTCAAATAAACAAATAAAATCTTAAAAAAAAAAAAGAATGAATGTTAAGTGGCAGCCATCCTAGAGAGAAAATGTAAACCATTGTTTGGTAATGTAGGAAAACTTTGTTAGTCTTCTTAGAACTCTTCTATGGGGACAGTTAGATTAACTCATGAGCGTCATTTTCATAAAATAAAAATACTGTTCTTTATTTGACAGAGTTGTGGACATTTTAATAATTGTTTCAGAACAATGAAACTGAGTGGCAGTGAAGTTTATTTTCTTATTTTTTTAAAAGATTTTATGTATTTGTTTGACAGAGATGACAAGTAGGCAGAGAGGCAGGCAGAGAGGAGGTGGGGAACAGGCTCCCTGCTGAGCAGAGAGCCCAATGCAGGGCTCGATCCCAGGACCCTGAGACCATAAGCTGAGCCGAAGGCAGAGGCCTAACCCACTGAGCCACCCAGGCGCCCCGGCAGTGCAGTTTAATCAGTTTGTCATCTCTGGATATGATGATGGACCAAGAAATGCTGTTACTGAGAAAACTCGAACAAAAGGGAGTAGAATTCACAGCTATGCTTCAAAAGCCGGAATTGTATAACCTATGTACAGTGGCGAGTCACTGCTAGGAATATCTGCAGATAACTGATCTATGGTCTGTTGTCGAGGCCCAAATCACTCCTATGAAAAGAGAAGATTTTCCTAAAACCTTGAGCTTGACTTCTAGTTCCGGCTCTGTCAGTTCAACGTCAGTCAGGTTGATCATTAGATATGAATTGTTTGGGCTTATTTTTCCTATAGGCTAACCTGTAGGATCAGAGAAGACGTGGCATCTAGTAAACTGTTTCTTTCTGGCTAGTAGCTAGTACCTCTTACTCCATTTTGATTTTTGACTGGAAACAAGATGGTCAGAGAATGCAGTGAACATAGTCATGTTGGTATTTCCAGTCCCTTTCACAGCGCCTAACATACAGAAGGTAGTATTTAGTTTAATGAGTGAAGCAAAGTCCACAAAAATGAGTGTTTCCTACTATTTGAGAGGGGAATAAAAGTGGGTACATTTTGTTTTGAAAAACGATTCTCTCTGTATGTATTTAGCATATATGGAGCCACAAGAGAGGACATTTATACATAGCGACATCCTGGGATAAAGGAAAGTCATGGGGTGGCATTAAATGAGAAGGAATTCTGTATGGTGTCTTCATTGTCTATATAATAGACCTTAGGTCTAAATTACTTCTTATATATGGCCTATGCCTTTCACCTGAATTCCTAGTTGAACATGTGGAATTTTTTCAGCGTGAAGAAGTTTCCGAAGTTGAAACCATCACGGGTAGCACTCTACAGTGGGAAACTGATTCAGAAATTACTGTGAAAGAAAAGTGGGAGAACAAGCTTACTGTAAGTGTTTCATATTTTGTGATTTTCCTTGGTTTTATTCTGCTTTCTTAACACAGGTTAATACTTATTATATGCAGTACCATTTCTAAGACTTTATTGTAGTCTTCTATCTCAGTCTGTGGATGTCTATGGAAAGTATGTCTGGGGATGCGTGTGGGTGTGTGCATGTGGGTTAGAATAAGAATGAGGGGGGAGGGTAAAGGTAAGTGCATGTGACTGAGGGTTAGGATAAGTGTGGGCGAGGGTGATAATAAGTGTGTGAACTTGAGGGTGAGAGCAACTGTATATGAGGGTAAAAGTGTATGTGAATGTCAGGAAGAAAGTGAGAGTAAGGACATGTGATGTGTTAAAGAGACAATAAAAAGGATTTAATAAAGTATTTTATTTGAATCCTGTGAAAATTATTAGTCTAAGCTTGGATTTTTCCTTTACCTACTAAAATCTCTAAATTTGATAAAATGATTATTGTGCAAAGGAATGTTATTCCGGAAATTCTGACAATATCCCCCAAATTGGCAGAACATGAGAACTTAGTTTTTTGTTATAAAGGAAGCATAGATGAAGAAATTTATTTTTCCATTACTTATCTCTACTTCTTAACTTCCTCAAACATCCATCAGCTTCCTACGTTAAGCTAAAGCAAGAAGCAAATTCTGAGAACTCTGGAATATTAATATCAAGCCCTTTAATAAGCCCTTTTTTAAAAGTTGCTTTTGAACATGGTAATAAACAAATAACTGATTTTTATTGCACCTCCTTGTCTCATCCTATTCTAAACCAATTGTGATGATTGATGAAATAAATGGTCAGGGACCACTTATATTTAAAAAAAAAAAAAGTCAGTTTTAGGCACATAACAAGTACCCAATATGTACTTGTTAAAATGAGATAATCAGTCAAAGAATAATCAATTTTGGGGCAATTGAGAATTGGTTTCTGTTCAATTAGAATTTGGGGGTTTAATAACCATGAATACTATTGAGACCAGATGACCATAACATTTTGTTTGCCTGTCATTTGTTTATACTTAACAGTGGAATAGCGGAGTTTCTTTTGTGACTTTTCTTGCAGGAAGTCAAGTATATAATGGAGGAGAAACTAAATCTTTGCATATTAATGCTGAACAGCTTGGGAAACCACAAAGAATCTCTTGATAGAGAATTTGTCAAATTAATAGAGATTTTGAAGAGATTCAGGATGGAATACTTTTATTTCAGAGAAGAATTTCTTTCCAGGTAATGATCATTTATATGTAAGAAACCAATGTTTTATATATATGACACATTTGTGATTGTACCATATAGCATTCAGTTTACTTTTTCCAAGTTGTATACATTGATTTCACATGATACTTTTTCAAAGAAGGCATTTTGTCTGATAATTTTGAATTCTGAAATAGTGTGAAATTGACTTATATATTCACAATTGCAAATACGGAACTTTAAAATTTCTGGAAACCCTGTATAATGAGTTATTTTCACTAAAAAAGGAAGTTAGAATTACAGAATATAGAATTCTTTTAACCTGAAAGGACTTTTAGAGATCATTTAGTAAAATCTTGTTATTTTACAGAGGACTGAGGTGTAAGTATATAAAGTGAATTGATCAAGACCTGGAAGTTATTAATGGAAAGTATATGAAGTGATTTACTAATGGAAGAATTTACTGAGTCTATTGACTTCTGTCCCACTGGGCTTCATTTTCTGCCTCAGTATACAATATATTGCATTAGGCACTAGTCAATTAAATCTCAAGGAAAAGAAGTCAGAATAAAGGATTCTAAATGTAAAATCATTTACTATCTTACTGTTCCTCTAACCTTAATTCTTATGTTTATGGGGAAATTCTTAATTTGTATACTCTATAAACAACATATTAAACAAGGACAGCTATTTTATCTTTTATTGACCACTATTTATATAGCTGCTAGGACCATACTAAGCATTCACTTAAGAAATGCTTTTTCGGTGAGTGAATGAACATGGGTGTATATTGAATTTGATTAAAGTAAAAAAACAGGGCACCTGGATGGCTCAGTCTGTTAAGTGTCTGGAGCTCAGGTCATGATCCCAGAGTCTCAGGGTCAAGTCCTGGAATCAGGTCCCACTTCAGGCTCCCTGCTCAGCAGAGAATATGTTTGTCCCTCTGCCCTTCCCCCTCCTTGTGTTCTCTCATTCTCTCTCACTTTCTTTCTCAAGTAAGTAAATAAAATCTTAAAAAAAAAAATTGAAAATGTAGTTAGAAACAAAAGTTGCTTGAAGAAAGCCAGAAGAAACTATTTTATTCCCCCTCCCCAAATAAGAAAACTGGATACCACAGACAGGTTAATACCAGAAGGAACTCTCAAGAACATGATCTTCAGCTTTCCCTAAGAAGCAGGGAGCCTAGACTTCCCCATAGTGGTAAAGGGTGTGGGTTAATTGGATATGCAGCTTCCTTACATGGATACCATCTCCACAAAAGGGAGCGTTGAAATTCTTCTAGTTAGCAACAAGGAACTATTTGGATGGGAGCCTGCACTAGACTCATTTCTGAACAAGTGAATCTTCTGTATTATTCTACAAGACACACAAGCACCCAATTAAGTAACAGTAGGTGCAATTTGTTGAGAGCTCACTGTGTTGGAGGTAGTGCTAAAAATTTGACATACTTTTATCTCTAGAGAGGTTCAGTGACTCACCCAAGGTTACCCAAGAGAGATTATGTGACAGCTGGGAGCAGCCCTAAATCTGTGCAACTTCAAAACCTGTGTTCTTTCAACTATTAATCCCCCACCATCTGCTTGTTAAAACTGAATAAAATATTCATTAAAAATATTCTGGGAACCTGGCATTGGGCAAAATACCACTCATCACTGTAAGGATTGTTAAGCCCCTGCCTTTTAGATATAATTTAAAACCGACAAAACCATTTAGTGGCTACACACAAAATGATTTAGTTATCAGTTTTAACTAGGAATAAGAATATGAGTGGAGTGGGGTGCCTGGGTGCCTCAGTGGGTTAAGTGTCCAACTCTTTTTTTTTTTTTTTTAAAGATTTGATTTATTTATTTGACAGACAGAGATCACAAGTAGGCAGAGAAGCAGGCAGAGAGAGAGGAGGAAGCAGGCTCCCGGCTGAGCAGAGAGCCCGATGCGGGGCTCGATCCCAGAACCCTGGGATCACGACCTGAGCCGAAGGCAGAGGCTTTAACCCACTGAGCCACCCAGGCGCCCCAAGTGTCCAACTCTTGATCTCAGCTCAGGTCTTGACCTCAGGGTCATGAGTTCAAGCCCTGTGTAGAGTTGAGAGTTCCTTCTTCAGAGTTCCTTCTACTTGCTGTAGTTCAGCATGTAGGACTCCATGCTGGGTGCAGAGCCTACTTAAAAAGTATATCTATATGTATCTAAATATATGGAATATTTTGTGGGAATGAGAATAAGTATTCTACATTTAGATGAGGTAGGAAATATTTATTAAACTTTTAGGGGCTGTTTGCTGAGAAGGAGAAGGCTTTCATTCTGTTGCAAGATAAATAGGCTCCAGTGCTAAGGAATGGGAAGAATTAAGTCAAGGAGAGGCAGTGAAAGAAAAAAACTGTTCTTGAAGGTCTCAGTGAGGAAAAAAAAATGTCATTTGAGCAACATTCAAGTCCCAGCTCTTTTCCAGTTTTTTTCCTCCTAGGTACTAGAAAATTAAATGAGACCAAACAATGAGGGTTTTGAAGGGGTGGGGGGTGGGAGGTTGGGGGAACCAAGTGGTGGGTATTAGAGAGGGCATGGACTGCATGGAGCACTGGGTGTGGTGCAAAAACAATGAATACTGTTATGCTGAAAATAAATTTAAAAAATTTAAAAAAGAAACAAAAAAATGGCCATAGTAAATCCCTCTCTATCAATTACTTTAAATGTAAATAGATAAAACTTTCTAATCAAAAGACATAGAATGGCTCAATGGATTAAAAAATAAGAACCAACTATATGCTGTCTACAAGAGACTCACTTCAGATTTAAGGACATGCATAGGCTGAAAGTGAAGGGAGGCAAAAAGCTGTTCCAGGCAAATACTAACCAAAAGAGAGCCAGGGTGGGTATACCTATATCAGAGAAAATAGACTTCAAATAAAAAATTGTCACAAGAGACAAAAGGACATTATACAGGGATATAAAGGACCAGTTCACTAGGAAGATATGATTATAAATACTTATGCACTCAATATCAGAGTATCTAAATATATAAAGCATACATTGACAGAATAGAAGGAAGAAACAACAATATACTAGTAGGAGACTTCAGTATATGACTTTCAATAATGGATAGAACATTGAGACATAAGGACAATAAGGAAACAATACACTGGAACACTGGAACACTATAGACCAGATGGACCTAATGGACACATACAGAACATTCTACCTTGTAGCTACAGAATATACATTTTTCTCAAGTGCACATGGAACATTCTCCAGGATCATATGTTAGATAACAAAACAAGTTTTAACAAATTTAAGAAGATGGAAATCATACTAAGTATTTTTTTAACTGCAGTGGAATAGAACTAGAAATCAATAGCAGATGGAAAACTGGAAAATTCACAAATATTTAGAAATTAAACAACACACTGCTGAAAAACCATAGAGAAGAAATTAAAAGGGAAATTAGAAAATATCCTGAGACAAAACTGAGAGCAACATACCAAAACCAATGGCATGCAGCAAGAGCAATACTGAGAGAGAAGTTAAACAGCGACAAATGCCTACATCAAAAAGAAGGAAGATCTCAAATTAACAAACTAACATTGTAGCTCAAGAAATCAGAAGAACAAACTAATTGCAAAATTAGCACACAGAAGGAAATCATAGAGGAGAAATAAATAATAGAAAAACTTTAAAAAAAATAAAAATCAGTAAAATTAAGTTGGTTTTTTAAATTAGAAATTTTATTTAACATATTATTAACCATTATATATCTTTATAATTTTAATTCCAGTATAGTTAACATACAATGTTATATTAGCTTTGGGTGTACAATATAGTGATTCAATAATTCTATTCATTTCTCAGTTCTCACATGATGTGTGTGTTTGTAATCTCTCTACCTATTTCACCCATCCCTCCACTCACCCCTGGTAAACATTAGTTCTCCATATTTAAGAACATTTGGGGGGGGTGTGTTTGTCTCTTTTTCCTTTGTTCATTTGTTTTGTTTTATAAATTCCATATATAAGTGGCATTTGTTTTTCTCTGATGGACCTATGTCCCTTTAGCATTACACCATCTAGATCCATCCATGTTATTGCAAATGGCAAGATTTTATTTTTTATGGCTGAGTAATATTCCATCACACACACACACATGTGCACACACACTCTTACACATACTATACCACATCATCTTTATCCATTCATCAATCAGTGGATACTTAGGTTGCTTCCATAATTTGGCTATTGTAAATAATGCTACAATAAGCACAGGGGTGCATGTATCTTTTCAAATTAACATTCTTGTATTCTTTGTGTAAATACCCAGTAGTGGAATTATTGGATCATATAGTAATTATATTTTTAACATTTTGTGGAATCTCCATCCTATTTTCCACAGTGGCTGCATTCTTACCAACAGTGCACAAGGATTCCTTTTTCTCCACATTCTTGCCAACATTTCTTGTTTCTTGTGTTTTTTATTTTAACCATTTTGACAGATGTGAAGTAGTATCTCAATGTGGCTTGGATTTACATCTTTCTGATGATGAGTGATGTTGAGCATCTTGTCATGCATCTGTTGGCCATCTGTATGTCTTTGGAGAGATGTTTGTTTATGTCTTCTGCCCATTTTTAATTGGATTATTTGTTTTGGAGTGTTTTATAAGTTCTTCATATATTTTGTGTATGTGTTGCCAAAGTGAGCACTATAAGTTCCTTATATATTTTGGGTACTAACCCTTTATTGGATATGTTATTTGCAGATCTTTCCAGTTCCATAATTTGTCTTTTAGTTTTGTTGATTATTTTTCTTTGTTGTGCAGGTTTTTTTTTTTAAAGATTTTATTTATTTATTTGACAGAGATCACGAGTAGGCAGAGAGGCAGGCGGAGAGAGAGGAGGAAGCAGTCTCCCTGCTGAGCAGAGAGCCCGATGCGGAGCTCCATCCCAGGACCCTGGGATCATGACCTGAGCCGAAGGCAGAGGTTTTAACCTGCTGAGCCACCCAGGCGCCCCTCTTGTGCAGGTTTTTATTTTGATATACTCCCAAAACTT